ATGATAACTTGTACATTTTAACTCATTGAGCTCCACTTGTCGCTGACAGTTCTGTATAATTTGGTACCGGTGATGGATAACGCTATTAGAGGTGTGAAAATGAACAGAATCAGACGTTCTTTACATGTTTTGAGCACTTCTCTCTTGCAGGCTTAGCTGTTAAATGTGGGGTAGCCATGCAAGCCTAAGGGAAGGGCTACATGACGTCACTCACGCTAATCGATAAAGGAAAAGTGTTATGACATCACCAGTTACCGTGGCAACGGCAGCACGCAGCTTTTATCTGCTTGGCAGGCTGAGGGGTTGTCAGACAGGGCGTTGCTTTGTTGTTCTCCTCGCCTGCATGGAGCTGGAGTTGTAACGGCTGTCAATGTCAAACAACGACAGTGCCACTTTAGCAGACTAATGTGCTCTATGATAAGCATAGACCAAGGCACTGAGTGCTTTTCAGTGCAAAGAGCTTTCCAGTTGACCTTGATAAGCCAAATTCAAGGTGAAACGTAGATTTTAACTACTTTCATACAAGATCTTGATAATATAAAATACTAAAAATAGCCACATATTAGATTGCTTTGGATTTCACTGTCATTTTTTTGGTTTTCTTGCCAGTCAGAGTATTTGTGTGTTTCAGGGCAGTGTTTGTGCGGTCAGTGCACATGCCACCCACCCGGAGATAAACGCGTACATGGCAAGAACTGTGAGTGTGACGACAGGCAGTGTGAGGACCTGAACAGAGATATCTGTGGAGGTAATACACACAAACACAGACAGCAGGACAAGATACGCATTAATGGTGCCATTGTTGGTCCATCTCTAGATTGTGCTGGTCTATGAGAATCCTGTGAAAAACAGAATGACCCTAGTAATGTAATGCTCACCAAGACTGCATTTATTTGAAAAACAGTAAAAACAGTAATACTGTGAAAATATTATTACATTTTAAAATAACTTTTCTATTTTTGTATAATTTAACATAATTTATTCATGTCATTGCAAAGCTGAATTTTCAGCAGCTATTATTCCAGTCTTAAGTGTCACATGATGTTTTCAGAAATTATTCTAATATGTTGATTTGGTGCTCAAGCATTTATTATTATCAATGTTGAAAACAGTTATGCTGCCTAATATTTTCGAAACCACGATACATTTTTTCCCCAGTATTCTTTGATATATAGAAAGTTCAAAAGAACAACATTTATTGAAATGTTCATTCTTTTTGTATCAATGTAGACATCTTTACTGTCACTTTTGATCAATTTAATGTGTTCTTGCTGAATAAAGTATTCTTTTTAAAAAAAAAAAAGTCTTACCCACCTCAAACTTTTAAATGATATTTCTATATTTCCAATGCAATTTAACAATTTACAAATTCCAATAAAATGGGATTATATGTCTATATAATTATATAACTTTCCAATCAAATGTTAATTTTGGTATAAAAATTATGTATATATTTTATTTTACTGTGTTTATTTTTTTCTCTTGAAAACAGCAGAGAAGCAAGAAAAAATTATTTTTTTCTAATATTAAAGAAAAACTGTTAATTTTTACACTACATAGGGGGCTTCCAGGAAAACTCTTGCCTCTTGGAGTTTTTCTATAATGATCAAGCACAAGCTTGTGTGCTGAAATATTAACCCACAGAGACTCCAGCTGACTGTACAACACTTCATTCAGTCGACTGAGAACACTGATATATACAGTGGGTATAGAAAAGAATCACCCCTTTTAAAATAATCACATTTTGTTCCTTTACATAATGAAATGAAGACAGACACAGTTTTTGTTTTATCCAGTTGTATTTACTCAGTGCAACTTATATCATCCAAGTAAAAGATAAAACACCAACATAAAAAAATTAAAAAACAGAATCACTGAATTGGAAAAAGTATCACCCTCTCCTAAAAATCACTTCTAAACTCTAACAGGTGTAGCTAACCACCTTCTCAATGGCACACAAAGCCATCTGACTTTCAACTGTGTGGTCATTTTGATGAGCTCAGCATGAAAAGCTTAAATCAAGAAGGATTTTCTAGACAAGTAAAAATTATTGTCTTGTTTTCAGAAAAAACATTTCAAAATTAAGTGAGTTTTTGCTTGAAACAAGGAAAATAATCTGCCAATGGGGTAAGCAAAATAATCTTGTTTTCTGTTTGAAATAAGATTATTTAAATATTTTATATAAAAGTTTATATAAAAACTCGCTTAATTTTGACTTGTTTTTTCTGAAAACAAGACAATAATTTTTACTTGTCTAGAAAATCCTTCTTGATTTAAGAATTTTTAGATATTTTGTCTGGAAACAAGACAGAAAATCTAAGTAAGAAAAGCATTTTTTGCAGTGTACAGCAACTCTCTGAAGCAGCTGCAGGAATTTATGACAAAGAGTGGTCATTCTGTGCAGGTGACAACAATATCACAAATTCTCCACAAATGTGGTTTGTATGGGACGGTTGCAAGAAATAAAGTCACTCTTCAGGAATTCAGTCACCACTGAGCTTTGCCAAAATGCACCTTGAAGATTCTGAGGCAGACGAGACTAACATTTTATTATTTGGCCTCAACACCAAACGATATGTTTGGCGGAAATCCAATATAGCTCACCATCCAAATAATACCATTCCTACAGTAAAGCATGGAGGTGGTAATATCCTGTTATGGGGGTGTTTCTCTGCAGCAGGGACTGGAGCACATGTCATGTGCAACATGTAATTGTTTCTCAGGGGGAAGTAAGGGATTTTCACCATTTACAGGGGGTAGTCAGTGATTTTATTGCCATCCGAATCCAGAATGTCGTTTTTTTTCTCCGACCACCCGTGTAAAAATACCCGGCTGAATTACCTACTGTTTTTTTGACAAACACCAAGGTCGTGTGGTGATTTAATTACCGCCCAAATCCACATCTTTGAGTTTACAAAAAGAAATCAATACACAATTCATTGTTTAAATCTTTTTGTACACTGCAGAGTACCGTATGATTGGTGTTGAGCTTCGCCGTTATTTGCATGCATTTTAAAGATATAGTCTACATTTATTACAGATATGTTGGAAAGTATTTAAGAACAATATTTAATCACCGCTTCACCACAGCAGCTGGAAGATCTTGAGAACAAAAAGGAGAAAGAGAAATAAAGCACATTAGGCTACATTTAAAATGGGCCGTTATTCTGGCAGCAACAGGTGTGCGCTAATACGTATAGCCTATTATATATTATTACACTAAAAATATAAACCAAGCAGCTTCATGCTTACTTCATGTAAATAAAAGGCTGCATTATTATTTCCGCTAAATTCCCCATTTTAAAAATGACATCATTTGAGAGAATTGCAAGACAAACCATTCATCTAGCCCAGTGGTCACCAACGTTTTTAGGCCCAAGATCCCTGACCTCGGCCTTTATGAAAGACAAGATCTACCTATTGAAGAATTGATAGAAAAAGACATCCCAGATTGTACTTCAAATTTGAGGCCTTTTACTTAGTATTTTAATTAGTGATGCGCCGATCATAGCTGATTCAGAATTCAGATTTTCTTTTCTTTCTTTCTTTCTTTCTTTCTTTCTTTCTTTCTTTCTTTCTTTCTTTTAAACTAGCAAATTGGCTGATACTGATACTGATTTTTAAGCTATTTTTTTATTGGCTATGCTTTATAACAAACAAACTGGCTTTAAACAAAAATATCTAGCCATTTGAAATTAGAGGCAACCACTGCATTTTAATCATGATCTGCACGGGCAGTTGTTTTTGATTTGATCTAGATTAATTTCAGGATTTAAAACAAAAACAGAATGGTCTGACTTTAGGTGTTATTTATTTATTTGCTACATAAAAC